CGAACCCGTGCCAACCCGCTGCTGGTCGCCTCGAGCGCCGCCTTTAGCTGGAATGCCGCCTCGCGACACTGTCCCGCTTCCTCCGCCGCCCTCTGCTAAATTGCATCCACTTCCCATCAGTACATTTTATGCTTGAGGAATTTTTCTGTGTTTTCAATTGAAGGTTTTAAATTCTTTCAGGGAATGATTAGGAAAAACAAATCAATCTTCACACAAAATGCGTCATATCAGGTTTTCAGTGACGCGATAAGCAGCTAATTTTAGGAAATGTGCGCAAAAATTTGAAATTCGTGCTAATACACTTTATACGTATTTAAAATGTTTCATCTGTTCAATCGATTTAGGTCTGAACATATAATTTTGTTCATTCTAGTCTCGACAAATTATTCCAGAAAATTTCATGGCACGTGTGACGAGCTATGAAAAATTCATAAAATTTGCAGAGCAATTTGCGATCACTTTTAGTTAATAATTTTGCCTTAAGTTTTGGGCAATATCTGCGTGCGGCAACCAAGTAAATGCGGTGAAGTGAATCACATTTTGATGACATAACATCCTGCACATGTCCTGAACCTCACACATTCTGAACCTTTCAATAAGGATTTTCATCCAAGTTTCTTCGATGCATTTTTCAAAATTACTATAATACATTTTAATTTTATTAACATTTAAAAAATGAATCACTAACGTCCAGGGCAAACTTTTTTGTGTTGTGCCAAATCGCAGATGTCAGTAAAAACCTGCCGACAGCCTCCGCAGACAAGGATGTCCGTCGGCTCCGTGCAATCCTTCGCTGAGCTCATCTTTCCTGCCTTTTCTTAATCAAAAAACTTTTTATAGTAAGAAAATCATCAGTTTTTATCAGTAAGTAAAAAGCGTGTAAGTGGGAGTAAAATGTATGTTCGCGGACTAAATGAAAGTGCTTCGCGACAGTATTGCTTTATTGTAAACCTTATTCGTCATACATTTTCTGATGCTCACTTTTTCGCGATTTACCTTCAAAGGCTTTTGTTTTCATGGCATTTTCTTTTCTCGAGAAAACTTGAAGTGTATTCTTGCTGCTTATTTTGCGATTGTTTTAAATTGTTTTCGGGGGCTTCATAAGGTTTCAGATTTGATACGCATATATTCTAGATCTTTTCTGAAGAAATGAATGACCACCGACAATTATTCCTTGTGATGATTGCTACTTTCTCATGCAGACTTGAACATTTAAATGTATTACATTCGCTTTGTTTTTCCATTTAATTCGAGTTCAGAGATGTTCACCATTATTTCTGTGGGTTCGAAGAATTTTTGGATGGAAATACTGTACCACCACACTTCTGCTTTTCAAAGACCTTCCTTTTATTAAATGTGAAGCACTAATAAAGATATCGTGCTGTAATATTTCCATTAATCCTTGTATTGGAAAAATAATTGTCTCAGAAAATGGTACCATATCAGTATTCCCCGGTCCAATTTGAAGCCATTTGGGTCTTTAATACCGTATTATTAAATTCGTCGAAGAGAGTATAATTATTTCAAATAATTAAATCGTTCCATTGTCTTATCATTTTAATATATGAAAGTAATTTTCACTGAGATCTCCTTTTAAAAATGTGATTTAATAACCAAAGCCGGTGCATACCTGCTTTCGCAGGATCCCAAATTATGAACAAGACGCATTTCAAGGCATTTTAAATTTTAAATACCCATTAATATGGTTGTAATTGTTAACGTGGGGAACGGCTAAATTATTTAATTATTTAATTAAATTAAAAGCCAGCATAGATCTCAAAGAGTAAATTGTAGTGGCATCAGTAATTCAAAAGGTGAGTTCACATTTTCTTGATGGGTTTCATCGGAGAAAAAAGATATGGTCAGTTCCATGTGTCCATTAAATTTTGTCCCAGGAATTTCATTGACCCACGAAGGCTTTTCTTCTTACATTCCTGCTTACTTCTTTAGCATTACTCCACATTAAGAGACGAGGTAGAGGGGGGAAAAAGAGGCAGAGAATAAATACCAGCCTTCACATATGATCACTACAAAAAAAGCCCCACCTTCGCGGTTCGCGACATCATGGCCGGAAGCAACTACACTTCCGAAGACGAAGACACTGTGAGTGCGAAACCTGAGAAGAAGCGAGGAACTAAGACGAAAAGTCGCGACGATGGCAGCAAGAAGATGTCGCGCGCATCCAAGGCGAAATCCGAAGACGAAGAGGACGTCGATGGCGGCAGTTGCGCGCAGTCGGGAGCAGAAAGCGGACGCAATTCTCGCATGACGAAGGAAAAGGGTCAGTTTTCCTCGTCATCTTTGTGACAGTGACGGGTATCAGTTTCACAAAAGACAGTGTCAAAAAACCTGCGCGGAGGAAGGAAATACTGTTGAAAGAAGTTACTTGTTTTTAGCTCTCCATTCCAATCTTCTGTGTAACTTTTCTTGTTGTCGCTCTGTTGGTGCCAACTCAGCTAAATCTGGCTCACATTCATTAATTGAGCCTGCATGTTGGACCTTGTTTTTCCATAGACTTCAATGGTAGTTTTTTGATTGGTTCTCCCGCAGATCAAAAATTAAGAAAAAGTCTCCCCAATTTTGCTCATCAAGTTAAAGGTACAGAAAAGAAATTTACAGAAGGAAATTATATAGAATCTGATCTTTTGACATCAGAATGAGCTCAAGAATGAGCAAAGAACACAAGCATGTTTTGCTTCACTGAGCATACATGTTCAAATAAATTTCAAAAATCACATAATTAGCCTGTTTTTTATTATGAATTTTAATTTTAAGATAACCTTCATTTTTAGTGTTAGTAACTGTAAATTTTCAGCAAATATGAAAATTTAGAAAACTGAAATACTGTATAAAAATGTTTCCAGAAATTTTGGGAAAATGTCCATATAATTCAAGTTATTGTCCAGATTTCAGGTCAGATTTTTAAAAGCTCTGTGTCCCCAAGTTGGTCCATATGTTGGGGTGTCTGCATTTTGGGGTCTCACGGTATAACTAAAAAGTGTAAATACTCTTCCACAAAATAGTGAACTTCTGTGTTCAATATTCATGTAAATCATGAAAAAGTATACATTCCTAGGTACTTTCCTGTTATCGCTGTACCTACTTTCCTGTTATCTCTGTGCCTACTTTCCCGTTATCTCTGTACTTTCCCTCTGACCAATTTAACCTTACCTAACTTCACCTAACTGCCTCCCAAAATCAGTTTCAGCAGAATGCGGAAAAATAAAATTCACAGTTTCTGGTAGGTTTACGTGATTATGAACTTGTCCTAAAGATTTGTCTGGATGGTAGTGCGGTCTAGGAATGAGGTACAGAGATAACAGGAAAGTACCCATTCCTCATTAAGTAAAATGCGTCAAATACAAATTGAAGCAGCAGATGGTAACTTGTATCACAAAGGGTCATTTAAAATGGTTGCGAGGCCAGCGGTGTAGTTTTCTGATAATCTAATTTATTTTCTTGTATCATGTATTAAAGGTAGCAAAAACTCCGGCAGTAGATCAAAGTCAAACAAGGGTAGCGTACGTCGAGCAGATGAGGACAGGACTGTCAGTGACGTTGACGAGGAGGAGGAGGACGCCGCCGACCGGCGCCAGACTTCGCGGCGCAACACGGATAAGGACGCCAAGGCGGCGGACATCCCCGACGACGCCGAACCATCGGAGGTGCTCGGCCTGGGCGCTGTGGTGCCTCGTGGTAGCGTGTGGAACGTACCCACCGAGGTCTGTGTGGGTGACAAGTACGTGGTTATAGGTCGGTGTCCCACGGGTACCAAACCCGTCGCCATTGACCTCTGGGCCCCGTATCCCAAGGACAAGGCTATTTCGGTTCGTCGCCTCGAATTATTCTTTCTCTGAAAAATTATTAAAAACTGTAAACGTGAGGTTAAATTTCCGGATTTTAAGATCTGGAACAGCGTAAATGAGAATATTGTTTCTATTCCTAGCATTTGGACTGTGTAAACTCTAAAGGTACTTGCAGACCAAGCCATGACGCGAAAATCCTTTTGAACTTCGTCATAAAGTCTGTAGAGAGCATTTTTAAGAAGTTAACGTACTTAACGAGAAATTATGAAGCCATAATTTCCTTATTACAAGTGCATTCATTAAAGTTTCAATTTTTAGAGAAAATTAGGCTTACAAAAATATGTGTGTCTCACATGTGATCATGCTTGATATTCACAAGTGACATGCATCCTTTTTTCTAGACAAGCTAAATTTTAGCAAAAGTTGTTTCATAGGAAAAAAATCACGCTTTTTCTATTATTTTTAGGACCTTAGAATCTTGCGCCTTTTATTCTTTTTATTGGAAGTTAGCAAAGTAAATTGAGTGCAATGCAAGTTTGCCTGATGTACATTTGGTATTTATGTTCATTATTTTTTGATTGTATACATACAGGTGGACTCTGTCTACAACAAAATTCAAGAGACCAGAAAACAATTTGTTGTGAGGATTTTGGCAAATGGCAATGTCCAGCAGACCAACCACATTAATCCTTTGGTTAACTATTGAAAAATCAACCTTGAATTAGAATATTTTTCTTGCTACAACAAATTCCAAGGGACCAGAGGAAAATTTATCAAGAGAATTTGTGGTGGAGAGCACTAATAACATAGGTGAAACCCCTATAGGACCACAAAAAAGCATCTTATGGAATACATTGTGATAGACAAAGTTTGGTACTTCCCTGTTATGTTACCTACTTTCTGTGCACCTACCAGAAACTGTGAATTTCATTTTTCCGTTTTCTGCTGAAACTGATTTTGAGAGGCAGTTAGGTAAAGTTAAGTTAGGTCAGGTTATGTTAGTTACAAATATCTTTCAATTAACATAACCTGACCTAACCTAACCTAATAAATACTGAATTCACGAGACAAAGAAAAATGGGTACTGAGATAACAGGAAAGTACCCAAAGTTTTTGAGTCTGCCTCCATTCCATTCCATGGTAAAGTCAGTATTTACAATAAAGTACATATGTGCATTTCAATTTGATCAAGTTTGGAAAAATTCAGGAATGGTGAATCTGTTTGTTTTCAGAAATTGTCAATGCTTATCCTATGCCAAGAATGCAGGGTTAAAAAAATGCCAGCCTGCAAGGATTTTTTCCAGCAAAAATTTGTTTTCAGCAGAGAAAAAATACAGGATATTTGGTTCTCAGTTTTTTTTTTTTTTTTTTGTGGCTACCACGAAATCTTGCAAAAATATCTCGTATTCCCCGCTACAGTATCATTTTTTGAAAATTTTTGCTTGGGTCATCTCGGGTCCCGGATGCGTCTCATCTCGTTTTCTAGGTGAAGATGTTTATGGGCCTGTGCAGGTTCCAGATCTCGGCCAAGTGCGACGGGAAACCCAAGGCGTGCACTTGCCCGGCCAAGGGCGACGATTACCCGTTTGAGAAGGACAAGGAGTTCAAGATCATCATTGCAGTGACCAAGGACAATTACGTGGTCAAGTTCTATGGGACACGAGGCCAGGGCGTCGGCACCATGAAGCACGTTCTGCCTGTCGAGCAAATCGACACCTTCAGCATCACCAACGCCGAGATGATCTTCAAGGCACTCAAGTACTGTTGAGAGGACGAGACGACGAAAAGAGATTGTGTGTGTGTGTGCCTGTGTGTTTGTGACGTGTTTCCATCTTAGATATATACAGACAGAATCTCAGACTGACTCATTTCTTCCTGAGCTTCCTCAGCATCTTGTCAATTTTTTCCAATGATTTTCTTCGTACTTGCTGAATCATAAAAAAATAAAGATCAACATTTTTTCGCGAATCCAACGCTGATTCGATGTATTTTGTGTTGTTTAACTCACAATGAACTCGTTCAAGTGGCTAAAAACGTATAAAATTTCAGTTTAAAAATTTTAATTTTTGACGCATGATTGTCTACTTCAGCGTCTCATTCAAGTCAAATTCGATTTGATGAGGAAACGGGTTAAATTGAACACAACTTTTGGTGGAAAAGATAAAACCCATTCAAAGTCATGAAAATTGTTGAGAAACAGGGTAGGGACCAAAAGAGCAGGTTGTGAAATTGTAAAGTTCAAGAGTAAAGACCAAAGGCACAGGTACACAAAAGGATTCCTTTTTTTGGCAGACGCATTTTGGTTGGACAAAAGGTCATGAGAAAGAGGAATCAACCTTGATATAGATTTTGTTTTTGCTCCCCCAAAACTTTTTCGCACAGAAATAAATGTGAATATATCGAAACTTGAACTGCATTTACCATTTAAAATTTTTTAAGGTCTCCAGTGTGATAATTCTGCAGAAAAGTTCAGTTTCCATCGAAAGGCCGCAGTTCACATGAAAGGAGTGTCAGTAGACTCATACTTTCAGATGGCTTGAGGAGTTGGCTTTCTATTTTCCGTTATTACCGTGATTTTTAAAATTTATCGCTATTTTTTTCAATTTTAAAACTGTTCTAAAAGTTTAAAAAAAATAGTCTCAAAATTCCATTTACGAAAACTTTCATATGCAAATGAGTAAAATGTTCGAAAAAGCTTGCGTATGACAACCCTTGTATCATATTTAGGAAATGAACCGTTGTAAAAACGCTAGTAACTTTTATTTGTAAGCTTCAGAATCATTTTTATGTTTGCTCTTTTCTACATATCCTCTTTCTTGAGGACTGGCTCCATGATTCATTTTTTGTCTTGTGCTCCCATTTTTATTTTACTGTGCTCTATGAAATGACCTCTTGCCTATTGATCAACGTCTCTATAATCAAGGATATGAGAAGGAGCTTTGTGATGTTGCTGAATAATATATATCCCAGGCTATGTGGTTTGGATCTAGTAAGATTCATGTTACTGCATGCAACAATAAAAGCAATGACACGGCTAATCCTTCTTGGCAGTTTTGCGCGCAATCATGAGTAAACGCGAGCAGCAAAGTCCTCTTCCATTAATTACAACAACAACAACCAGGAAAAACGAGTTGGATGACGGGTGAATGGACCAAGTTTTCGCCTCATATCCCTCACCCCTCGGGACTCATGAGTGCATTATCATCTCTGCATGATGAAAAAGGAATTCCGCGGAAAAAAGGTCGATGTAGTGTGTGTGGTATTATTGGAAGGAGTTCTAGGATGGGGATATGGGATGTACGGTATATACGAGGGCTGGTTCATAAGTTTTGCCAATTTTTGAGAGAATTTCAGTGACAGAGGTTCAACAATTCCGAAAAAAATTCGTTTTTTTTTCGCATAGCCCCATCATTGCACTTCAGTAGCTGTTGATCGCAGTCTCTGCTGATTTAAATGTAATTTTTTCATGTGATAAACTCCATGATCAAAAAATGGTGCCAACATTTATAATTGCTGTGCGAGTTGATCAAGCTGCTCTTTGACTATGGAAATTGATGCTGTCACTTTTATCAAAATCAATCGTTTTCAGTTCATTGTTCACCATTTGGAACAGCAAGAATTCACAGAATTTGCTTTTTTGTCATTAAATATATTTTTCAAACATTTTTGTTAGTGCATTTTTTTCTTCTTCCAAAATGCATTGCACCCTGTGACTCATTTGTTACATGAATTAAATCCAACCTATGTCTGCCTGTGATTGTAAATTAGATGTGTGACTTTTCTCTCAAGTTGCTCATTGAAAAGTTGCCTGGCCTCAAACAAATGAATTTATTTACTGTCACTATGGAATACTAATATCCAGGGTATAGTTTTGTGGCAAATTGAATTGCCTTTCTTTCTAGGTTTTTGGAATTTTTCATTAGTGTTTTTGCTACGCAATGGTAGTTTTAATTACATATATGCTGGTGCTCCATGTGAGCCAAAAAGGTTTTTTTTATCTGTTTACAGAATTAGCTATTGTAGTGTATGAAGTTGCTTTGGTGTATTTTGCATTAGATGATGATGAAACATAGTCAGTCTGACTAAAAATGGCACAGAAGCATTTTTCTTTATCCCTCTTAATAAAAACTAACATACAATGCTAAGGTCTCTGAAGTGAACTTTTAACATACCGTATTTACTCAAGTACCATGTGCCTTTGAGTAGGGCATGCACAGGGGTTTTTCAGTTGGAAATTTTGCTAAAATCTTATCCAGCTGAGTAAGATGCAGACCCCTATTTTTAGTGAATCTGAAACCACAAAATTTAGAAAATATAAACAAAAAATTGACTTTAGAAATGAATTGAACAAAAATCTGATCAATTTTCAACTGTTTCAGTACAAACAAGTTTGCTTGCTACATTTGTTCCACATTTCTCCATTATAATTAAGTATAATGCACACATAACTTGCGTAAATATGGTATATTGCCTGCAAGCAGAGTAAATGCTCCTACACTCTGTTTTACCTTGAATTTGGAAAGACAGTGCTATTTGCTAATAAAAACAAGCCACACTCATGGCTGTCCCCAATGGTAAATAATGAACTGAAAGAGACTAATTTTGAAGAGAGTTGCAGTTTCGTTTTCATTGTCAAAGACCACTGATGCAATTATCAATTTTGGCACTATTTTGATCATTGAGTTTATTGCATGAAAAAAACATTGAAATCGGCGGAGATTGCCTTGAACAGCACTGAAGTGTTGCCAATAATGACGGGGCTGCGTGAATAAGGTGAAAAAATTGGAATTTTTGAAACTTTGTTGTATTTATGTAAAAAATGCAAAAAACTTGTGAGCTAACCCTTGGTATGTACAGTATATGAGAGACCCGCAGCATTCGCCAGGCTTCGATTAGGAAAGGAGATCGTGCAATATCTTCGGATTAATTGCGGTCCGTGCGGCCTCGCCAGGGCGTCATCTTCCACATGATCTCATATCCCTCCGACCCCTATTTCCCCCCCCCCCCCCTCTCTCTTTTCACATACACACATGCACATATACTTACATGTGGAACACGATTTCCAGCGCATGTTGTGGAGGTGCTTTCATGCGAAAGTTGTTCCGTGTGAACGGGAGGCGAAGAGTCTTTGGATATAATAGGACGCTCTTATCATCGAGGATTCGAATGTGAGCCCTGGAGGGTAAACTCGGAATCATGTCAAGGCTTCGAGCATTTCTGCGTCAGGAAATTATTATGACACGTTTGTGCTATTTCCGATCGGACCTCGGATTAGAAATTATCGTGCAGAAAGCGCGTGCGAATAATCGTAAATCTCCAATTGAAACGTTATGGAATACGGGGTATAACTTGTTACTGTATATATGAACCCCTTGCAGTACAAACATTTGTTACAACGAACATTTTTACAACTATTTTTCATCCTCGTACTGTAAAAACGAGAATTTTTGTACAAAAAACTGGATTTTTTCCATTTTCAACACTTTTTTTTAGCATAACTCCTGTGGACTCAATTTTTAAACCTGAAATCCACACTATTTCAAAAGAAATTGGGGGGGGGGGGGAAGTTTATCTTGATGAATGTTTCAGCAAAAACCCACATAGATGCATACGCTTGAACCCTGCAATTCACACTTTCTTGAAAAAATCAAGATGGAAACCATTTTGAAGACTTTTTGCTTTGAGCAAAACCCCCTTGTGTGCAATGTTTTAGACGTGCAATCCACACTTTCTGAAAAAAAAACATAAAATGAAAACCCATTTTCAAAAACAGTTCTCAATTCAATTTTTCAGAAAGTTTGGATTGCTGATTTTATGCATAGCATCTGAGTGGTTTGTGCTCAAAATTAGTCAAAATGAGTTTGATAGAAATTGAATTTAAAATCACATTTTTTCAATTTTCTCTACGCGCATGCCAGCAAATTTAATGATTTCCCAGTCTAAAGGAAATTGGGATTTGTATGAAAAATAATGATGCAGCAAGCATAGTGCTTGAATAATTTAAATTATTTGCACATGGCATCGCTGTATTATCGCAAAAATGTGATTGCCAAGATGCATTTTTTTCATGATATCTAGTCTTACAGTACTTCTTTTTTAGGGAGCTCAGTTTAACCATCCTATTTTTTAATGCATTCTTATTCCTGTATTTTACCTAAGAAAAAATAGTCTTGGGTGGATGAAATATTTTTCGAGCCTGTTGGGCCCATTTTATTTAGACTGGAAAATAAATGCGTAATTTACTTGAACGTACATCATTTTAGGGTGGCAACAGTACACCTGCAAAATAATGTGCATGAACATTTCTAAATATGGCATTAGAAGAGGATATTCGTCACCCTTTTGGAAGCTTAAACTGATGCTAAAAATGAAATTCTGGTGATGAATACATGCCCTTTGTAGGCGGAATAGCACCTGCATCTTACGTAATGTACAAATGTTCGCAATTACTGCGAATTTAATGCGAAAGTGAAAGTCATCAGGAACGACTTAATTCGGGAGATAAATATACAGTTTAGGGGAGAAATAAATCAGTTGAGGAAATAACGCAATCAGGTAAATCATTCGATCTTTATTTCCACGAAGTCTGAGTCCGAAAGTATGCAGTGCTTATTTAACTTCTCGAAAGATGATTGCAACATCAGCAATATTTCAAAATTTAAAATCTCGCGTTTTGGAAACCATCGCAGATAATTTATTGTAAAACGCGGAGCAAAAGTTCCCATGATTGCATGCTTAGTGTAATATCATTGGGAACCCTCCTGCTTGCGAGGAGTAAAATTGCAAGTACTGTAACAATAATATGTGTAGCGCATTTGAAAGTAATCTTGACTAGACCAAGGAATAATCTTTCCAAATTCATGGTTTTGCAAGAACTCAGGCAATCAATTGAGCATTATTCGAGGATTTCCAGCAACAGCAGGAGACCCCATTATTTTTTCTTTAACTTAGAAAAATCCTGGAAAACA